TTGATAAATTTCGATAATCTTCGTCTCCTAATATCATTATCGAAACTTTCTAATCTGTTGTCCGACCTGCATGAGTGTGCAAACGTTAAAGGCAGCCAGTTTGAATGGTGCACGTAGTTCCAGATAAAACTGCTTCAGTATTCGTATTTGGTGGTAGCACATAATTTTCAACCAGACAGTGACTCGAGAACGTTTAGATAGAACCGAATTTCCACCATAGACGAGCCGCTGCATAAGTCGAAAATGAGGATACACAAAGTGGGAATAAAAGGGAATGAATAAGTGACGTGGTAAATAATAATAATAATAATAATAATAATAATAATAATAATATTAATAATAATAATAATAATAATAGTGTGAATTGTTTGACTGTTAATCGAAGCGTGAATAGAATTTTCAGTAAATATCGTCATTTTCATTTTATTTGTGTGTGGGCTGTGATATTGCCCGGGTGCCCAGACCGAAGCAGGTGGTTTTCTTAGAGGGCCACACCCCGAACCTTTGACCTAAAGGTTTGACTCACAAGGCAGTGGAGCATCATGAGGAGATGCAGTCCCATGGTAGCCGGTGACCAACGATTAATTCATTCGCCATTTGTTCCCTTAGGATACTGGAGTCCATGTGCATCACTTACAGGCGTAAGTAATTAAATAAAGAAAGTCCCAACACTTTGTGGATTGACGCGTCGGATAATCGCTTCAATAGTTGGTGATTTACGAGATCCAAAATATGATAACGGAGCAAAAGTAGTTTCTAAAGTCCCACTTACTTTTGAAGACGCATTACTACAGCGCCCTAAGACAGAATAAGTTATACGATTGGTTTCTTATGTAGTTGCCTAATGTTTATAGATTTTCATACATTTAATAACATGTTTCCATTCGTATTAACCATCGCAGTATACACTTATGGATGCGACAAAAATGGATGTCTCTCATGTAGTATGGTATTAAAGATCATGTAAACATTATTACAGATATTGTAACAATCAATGATTTCCTGGGCACCCAAACAAAATTTAAAGAATAGATGCTTTCTTTCAGATACTTCACTACATTAAAAGGGACGAGGTAAAAAACGACTATAATATTCAGTGGTTTATAAAAAGGATAACTACCAAAATTTGAATGAACCGGTACATCCTTACCATTATGTTTATCGATAAAAAAAACTTGCTAATAACTAAAGACTGAATAAAATAGGTTGCAACATTCCTATATTATCTAGTAAACTTTAAAACTCGATGAACCAATAAAAAAATATAGTTCATTGGCAAACGTTTGTGCCTTCAACAAACTGGCCATAGGTGGCACCATATTCCCACATAAATGCACACACAAAGCCACATGGACTTCACCGGATCGCACTACACAGGACCGAATCGACCATATCTGCGTCAACGAGAAGTTCCGAAAGACGATGAAAGACGTGAGAACCAAGAGAGAAGCTGATATAGCATCAGATCATCACTTGCTGGTCGCCAAGATGAAACTGAAACCCAAGAAGCAATAGACAACGGGGCGGACAACATCACAAAAGTTTAATACGACCTTTCTTCGGGATACTGACTGACTCAACGAATTCAAGATAGCCCTCAGAAATAGGTTCAAGGCCTTTCAGGATCTACTCAATAGAGAAAGAACTACTATAGAGAGCAACTGCAAAGGAATCAAGGAGGCAATCACTTCAACATGTCATGCCACAAGAAACACCATTACAAGGAATGGATCATTGTTGACACACTGGATAAGATTCGAGAAAGGAGGGACAAGGCAGTAATCAATATCAGCCGGACAAGAGCAGAGAAAACCAAAGCGCAATCTGAGTACACAGAAGAAAAGAAGCGAATGAAGAGGAACATGAGAGCCGACATACGTAAATGTGTGGAAGATCTAGCAATGACGGTGGAAAAGGCTTCAAGAGAAGAAAACATGTATGTTACAACAAAAAGTCTCGCCTGAAATTATCGTAAACCAGAACGACCAGTGAAAAGCAAAGAAGACAAAGTAATCACAAACACTGAAGAACTACGAAACAGGTGGGTAGAGCACTTCAAAGAACTCTTGAATCGACCAGCCCCACTGAACCCACCCAACATCGAAGCAACACCCACGAACTTCCCAATCGATGTTGGCCCACCAACAATTGAAGATATCAGCATGACCAATAGACAAATCAAGAGCGGCAAAGTAGAGGGGCCAGACAACATTCCAGCAGAGGTATTGAAAGCAGATGTAGCAGTAACTGTAAAGATACTCCACATTCTCTTCAGCAAGATTTGAGATGAAGAACAGGTACCAACAGACTGGAAAGAAGGAAACCTGACCAAGATACCAAAAAAGGCTATCTCAGCAAGTGATAACTACAGGGGCATCACTCTTCTCTCAATACCAGGAAAATTCTTCAACAGGGTATTGTTAAACAGAATATAGGACTCCGTAGACGCCCAGCTTCGAAACCAACAGGCTGGATTCCGTAAGGATCGATCGTGTACAGACCAAATCGCAACACTAAGGATCATTGTGGGACAATCAATTGAATGGAATTCATCACTCTACATAAACTTCATTGACTACGCGAAAGCATTTGACAGCGTGGACAAAACAACACTACGGAGGCTTCTTCGACACTACGACGTACCTGGGAAGATAGTCAACATAATACGGTATTCCTATGATGGATTAAACTGCAAAATCGTGCATGGAGGACAGGTCACAGACTCGTTCGAGGTAAAGACCGGTGTAAGGCAAGGCTGCTTACTCTCACTCTTTCTCCTGATGATCGACTGGATCATAAAGACGTCAACATCTGGGGAGAGGCATGGGATAGTGGACATCTAGGATGCAGCTGGACGATCTAAACTTCGCAGATGTTCTGGTTTTCCCATCGCATACGCAACAACAAATGCAGGAGAAGACGACGAGTGTAGCAGCAGCCTCAGCAGCAGTAGGTCTTAACATACACAAACGGAAAAGCAAGATTCTCCGATACAACACAGCATGCAACAATCGAATCACACTTGATGGAGATTTGGAAGATGTAAAAACCTTTACATATCTGGGCGACATCATTGATGAACACGGCGGATCTGATGTATATGTGAAGGCGCGGATAGTCAAAGCAAGAGCAACATGTCTACAAATAAAAAACATCTGGAACTCAAAACAACTGTCAACCAACACCAAAGTCAGAATTTTCAATACAATTATCAGGACAGTTCTACTCTATGGGGCGGAAACTTGGAGAAGTACGAAAGCCATCATCCAGAAGATACAAGCGTTTATTAACAGTTGTCTAAGCAATACTTCGGATCCGTTGACCAGACACTACTAGCCACAACCTACTGTGAGAGAGAGCAAACCAGATTCCAGCGGAGGAAGAAGGTGGATAGGACACACATTGAGGAAAGCACTCAAATGCGTCACAAGGAAAGCCCCCACCTAGAATCCTCAAGGCCAAAGGAGAAGAGGAAGATCAAAGAACACATTACGCCGAGAAATGAATACAAACATAAGAATGAACAACAATTGGATAGAGCCAGAAAGGAAGGCCCAGGACGGAGTGGATTGGAGAATGCCAGTCAGCGGCCTATGCTCAAATCGGAGTAACAGGCGTAAGTAAGTAAGGCTGTCGTTAAACATTTCTCATTCGACCAGAATCAATAACTTTCTACGGGATAACTCGAATAGTATGATCATAATCTGTTTTCAGTTGATTAATCCTACTAGAATACCAGTTTCTTATAAGAACATTTAAATTCAAAACTTTCACCAAACTGCGAGAAAACGTTGGGACTGAAAGAATGCTAGTATTTGACTGATATTTTCCAGCTTTTATCTTGGTGTATTTCCACCTTTAATTAACGGACATTACGAGTGAACAATCACTTATAACACATGCTTTAGGTGGGTATTTTACATAACAAAGTTTAATTTTCCTTAGAGCTTTAATGTATGCTGCCTGTGGAAATGATTAATAACCTGCACATTCAAAACTTAGATTTTATCACGCCACCAAAAAAGATAGCAATTTTTAATCGTACTCCAGGGGTAGTGAACTAGATATGAAATTCAGTTGCACTTTGGTCAGATCCTAAGAGACACAAGCTAGGTCAATGTAGTCCGATTGGAAGACTTGAACGGAAATCTTAGCTTTTCTTACAGGTTTGCTCAGTAAAGTGAGTGACTTTATTGATACACTCTGTAAGTTTGATATATGCTAAAATAGATAAAAAGACTCTATTAGACCTAATGTCGAGTAAAGAACTATCCAGAACTTATTCCTAATGTTTACAAAGTCGAGTATATGTCAATACCCATCGGTTAAGTACCACTCAGATGGTATACTGATCGCATGTTCAGTACCCCTGACCACAAGTTGAGTCGAATATAAGACTTCATGAGGAAACATGAATTAATATCGTATGAATCTCTATTTAAATCATGTTAATACTGGCTTAATTGGAAATACATCAAGAAATACACATCAAATGAAGTATGCCACTATAACCACCAATGATATCCCTTGAATTTATTTTAAAGGCAGAGAAATTAAAACTCAAAGTAATGGGACGTTGCAATATACTGTTAATGGCCGATGATAAGCATAAAACGAGTTATAAGTAGTAATACATGGGTTTAGTTACATGTATCCACTACTGTTAGTTCGCTCTTGTAAACAAATAATTTGGGCAGTGCGAGTGCTCTCTTATAAGGTGACAAAAACAAGTCGAACTAAATACTACTACTACAACTGCCTACTTTATAGATTTCGTTTGGATTTATTGAAGTTGAGAATTTGTTTTTTAAAAAATGCTAGTTAATTCAAACGGTAGTTAATTAATGAAGCATTTGAATACGAAAAACATTCTGAAGTTTTAAAATTTATGAGGTTTGAAATAGCAAAGTAAAATGACTAACAACCTTTAGAAATTATAAGAATCCCAATAAATGAAAGAAGAAATTCATAATCCCAAATGTTGTATGAAAAACACTCACATGAACAGATAGAGAATTTTGAACTGCTTGTGACTGACCAGAAGAAAACACAGGACTAGGATACAATTTGTGCTGACTAACTGGTACAATATTTTGGAGGTTTCTTGAAGATTGAGAAGCTTTGGAGAATAATTCAGTACCGACTTCCCTTGTTTGTGATTCTGTAGCTACCTTACGTGACAAGTAATTTTCTGTAGAAGCTTCTGGTGGTATAGATACAGTCTTGACAGATGGTGGAGGGTAAACATTTAATGAACGGAGTATATCGATTACGTTTTTCGACTTCATATTACAATCGGACGCTGTGCTAGTCTTGCCACTTCCATATCCAATCTCATGACTACCATCAATGCTCCAGATGTCACGAGTCCTATCAAATATGTCAGTAGGAGCGGTCGGATATGCAGGTGCGTTTCTCAGATGCTGAAATGAATCTTCGTTGAGCTGTTGGTAAGAAACCTTTCTGGATATATCTAGGATAGCAGGATCCTCAAAGGTCTCATCTAATACTAGCTTTTGAAGTGTTTCCTCAACATCGACAACCTTCAGAAAATATAACTGTGATCTGTTCACTTACTTTTTCGCCCCCATCATCCACAGTCACACCACAACCGAGGTCATCCGTTTGCCATAAGAACGAAAGACCACCAGTGTCATTCCAGAACTTTGGTAGTTCATCAGCAGCTGGAGATTCTTCGGAAACTTTATGAAAATTCTGCACAAATTGATCATGTTCGTTCTCCCAGTCACCTGAAAGTTATAATAATAAGAATGACCCAAACCTATCTCTGCACAGTCGAATGTCTCTTCGTTTAGAAGATCGGGATCCTGAAGCGTGAAATTATTCCATTTAAAATATGTTACCTCCTCCAAATCATCCATATATTAAGGACCTAAATGACTGATGACTTTACAGAACTAGGACAAATCATATCGAAGAGGCGCATCAAGTCAAAACAGGCGGTGCACAATGTACAATGCCTGGAATTCGGATGACTCGAAAGGTTTTTAGCAAATTAGAGGAAACTTTCGCCTAATAGATTCGCATTTTCAGTAGCGCTGGACCATCATTACTTCCAAGCAAAGACCTAAATACATTAAATAAGCCAGGCGTAAATATTGATAAATTTGTATGAAATATTGTCTTAATTCCCTAATAAATCAGGCTTCCTCTTCAAGAATTCCTGTGAACGTTCTCGATACCGCTTACTTTAAAAACAATTTCAAAGCTTTTCCTCTCGTAAAGCTTCGAAGATGCGCCTACCCTCTAGTTTGATATGTATCTCATTTCTGGATATTGCTCCTGTAGCGTCAAATAAATCTCCAAAATAAGTGGTTCCATAAGTTCTCAATATTAACGTTGACCTCGTCAGTTTCACTGGACATGCCATTATTTATATATCCTTAGTCACTCATTTGCACCAGATCACGTTTGGGTATGCTGCGCTGTGCGTTTCCAACAACAACTAGTCAGGTAAGTATATATACTCATAGACACATCGGCTATTATCTAAATATATCCTCAAACCCCGTCATCCCCAAATATCGGTCAGACTGTATTTCGGATCCTCGAATAAAAAGGAGTTATGGACCACAAAGTTGTCAAGTAACGAATATCAGTAGAATCCTAGTCCTCAGTGCTTGCTTTTGGATGACATTTAAATAGGGAGAAAGTCAGCAGTAAAAACGTAGAACAGAAACGTTATATTAGGCCTCATAACTTATGATAATTTCAAGGATCAAACTATTTTAAATGTATCAACAGAAAGTGGAAATACTAATTTTTTCTGGTAGACAATCAGGGCAGTTCTTAAGCTTTTCGAGGATGCAACTAAAACGGATATGTAAATAAGACACATTAGTTCAGTAATCATAGTTCAGATTCAGCCAGTCAAAACAAACTCAGAACCAGGCACAAACATACATAATTCTAAGGTATCAAAGTACATTCTCCTGAGTTGAAATTAACGGTAAGAACAGTAAAGGAGCACAAATAAAGTAGATAGTAGATATTGGATCATCTTTGAACAATCAGTTAAATGGAACTCGTCACTATACATCAATTTCCTTGATTATGAAAAAGCATTTGACAGTATGAATAGGAGAATGTTATGAAACCTTGACGCTACGGTGTACTTGAGAAAATCGTTCTCATTATCCGTAATTCATGCCATGGACTACACTGCAAAGTCGTACATGGAGGACAGCTGAGAGATGCATTCCAAGTAATGACCGGTGTCAGACAAGGCTGTCTACACTCCACCTTCCTCTTCCTTCTGGTGGTTGTCTGGACTATGAAGACCTATGCTTCTCAGAGGAAGCGCGGGATATAGTAAACAGCCTGGATGCACCCAGACGATTTAGACTTCACAGATGACCTGGCTCTCCTGTTCCATACACATCAACAAATGCAGGTCAAAACAGTCAGTGTAGCATCAGTGGACCTCAACACACACAAGGAAAAACCAAGATTCTCAAATATAACATAGAGAACACCAACTCAATCACACTCGATGGAGATCTGGAAGAGTTGGGAACTTTCACATATCTAGGAATCACCATCGACGAAAAATGAGGATCCGATGAGGATGCAAAGGCAAGGGTAGAATTCCTATAACTGAAGAACATACAGAACCCAGATCAATTATCAGGCAACATCAAAGTCAGAATCTTCCATATAAACATTAAGACAGATCCACTGTATGGAAATGAAAAGAACCACCACAAGCATCATCAAAAACGTACAGGTATTTATAAACAGCTGTCTACTTTGGTGAGCCCAACTAACGAAGCGCAACCTATAATTGCTAGTCCTTAGATCCACCTTAACCTTCTCAATCGATTTTTATTTGTATAAACCCATTATTCTAATAGTCCTCTGATTAATGCTCACATGTATTATGGTAATGTTATATTGATTAGTTCCCATTACATACTAGCTCATTCGATAGTAAAAACTGGTCGTCTATATTAACTAATTAGCTTTCATGATTCGTTAACAAGCCTTAATAGCATTTACATGCTTCAGCGACATAGTCTTGTTTAAACATCAAGCTCTAGCAATTATGACCTGTAAATAGCGTAAATATACATTGACTAACAATGCAATCAAGGACTAAATAGTTATCTGGATCTAATTCTCAGTGTTCCTTCACTTAAAACCTCATCCTGCTTTAAATGCACTATCCTGAATTATCTTTTCTTCCGACCACTGCCTGCCTAATTTCATATTTTCGAGTTCCATTGCCAAACAACAAGGATGACACTTCTCTAAAAACATACGAGAGCTCGTTCAATAGCGACCACACAATGATCTGAATTCATTCGATTGTTCTGATCCGAGCGAGTGGCAAAAACGTCAACAGCATCAAGCACCTCGGAATTAATTGCCTGCATGTTTTATTCTGGATACTTTTTGATCATTACTACTCCTCACCAATGGTGTTGTATATGTCTTTCATTGAATAATCTAATTTTCAAAAATAACCCAGGCGAGTTCAACTAATTTACTGGATGATTTTTTTCGTACTTAACATGTATATGTTTTCCAGTTGCTTTTGCCTTATATTTGTAAGTGTCCCTAGGCTAAATGCAGTAACTTCTAATGGAATGTTTATAACGCATCATATTCCTGCCTGGAGTTTCATTAGCAGTCTTAGCTTGAAAATTATTTTCTGGTCATGTTCATTATTTCTAAATTGCCATATACGTCAACAACCTGCATGTTACCCTGGGCCGTACATGCGTTGCACTATATCTTCATGTCTTCTAAATTTAGAAATCATTTGAATCACCTTTAACATTCATCAGTAAACCCATCATAGTCGTTGTTGCTAATCGTATTTGGGTTTATGGATTGGTTTATCATATTAGCAGCCTCAAATGTGAACATAGTTTAGATAATAAGATTAAAAATTTAGGTACTATCAACTGCACTAGTAAAATAACTAAATCCCTGGGTAGCTGTTGGCTAAACAAACGTTTAAAATCAAAACTCCGTAGCCTACTAGCATTAACACTAAACGAATATTTATAAATTGAAATTTATAATTAAATTAGGCGTCTCGAATTCTGTAACGTTATAAATTTCTGATAATTTTGAATCACCTAAAGCAACAATGCCTATTTTTCCACTGGTCAATCCTCAATCAACACTATAACTAATTAAACATAATAGTTTCAGGATATCTTCATAAAGCATTGTCATGACTTGACAATCACGTAATATGATTGATAAAATTAGTGAAACTATTAACAAAATCGGTCAGCAAATTTACTTATAATTATCACTAGTGTTGCTTTTCTTTTATCTTGATTCACTACAGATGATTACAGTATGTTTCCCTATCAGTTGCTCATTCAGTAAATATCTCAATACCTAGTCAGTCTAGTTGATGGTTTAGCGACACAATCATGCATGCAAATAATCAGTTTAAGCAGTCGAGCGAATCTCCTGCAAACTGAAAACATCAATGTCGAATTTACCCCGACACTGACTAAAGTTTAAGCTATTATCATAGGCATGAGTTGGGAGTGTACTCCCTTTGGTTACAACTTATGTTCTCTCTGATAATCACATGAGCATCACTCACTATTAATCATCTTGTAAAAAATTATTTTGCCAAATACATCTTGCAGCACCACACCACTTAGTAATATGACACATAAGCCTAACTGATTTCAATAACTTATAACCTCTATATCTCAATTAAATCGTATTTCGCCTTATGATAAACTGCATACTTGCAACTAACTTTTATGCATCATCAGCCGTCAGGTATAAATATGTATAAATAGTCTATGGCAACACAGAACATTGAGTCTAGAGCATTTCTCTTACGAATACACTCATGTTTAACGATTTGTTCTTAGCTATCTGCCCAAAACTCATATAATTATCACTCATGTATTTAAATTTTGTTTTAATAACCATTCACGGTCAAGTAAAAATAAGGTTGAGAAAATCTCCGCGTAACTAAATAAACCGTATCAAACTAACTGGAACACTAGTTGGAATTCTTCTCCACGGTATACTTTTGTTCCTTCAGTTAGCCTACGAATACAGATGCATTTGGAATTCAACTCATATGGACAACTTACCGGCATAATCGTTATTTGATTTCATAAGTTAGACTAAAAGTAGTACTAATATTAACATTTCTACAATATTCATTATTTTAATATTTCTAAACACAAAATACTTCCCACTTATACGTTAAGTTATTAACCAACGGCTATTAACACGCATCGTTTTATTAGTATTATCATTATTAATATTGTAATCCCGTTTTTTATAGCTCAAATAATCACTCAAATTTTCATTTTAAGAGTGTTAAGAATGAAGGAAAATATTTTAAAATTATTACATGTATTCCCCGACCAGATGCTGCCGTCTTCTTTTTGATTTATCTTTCAGCTTGTCATCACCCGGAGGATTCTTACTAGTCTTGACAACCTTCGGCACACTACAGTCCCATCCAATTTGGTATCGAACCAACACCACGTTGATTCTGGTGGGAGAGTAGTGTAGTGGCATTTGACCATAACCACACAATCCTCAAAGCTGAATACGAGATTACTCGGAAAATAGATATTCAATATTTAACGCGAAGAAATACCTAACGATGGAGAAGGCGCGAATAATAAACTGAATGAATTAGAGTTGATCGAACGGCATGGCTCGGCCATGCAGGCGTGGTCTCTGCTGAATGTTACCTTATATCTTCTATTCATATTAAATATATTGTTTTTTCTCTAGCCTTACCTTGTTCCACATCATGTATTGGTAATTGATACGATACAGTGAGTTGGTGTCGTCGATGGTGTGACTTCCACGTAAGATCTTATAGATTAGTCAGTTATATCATGACAAATCTACAAATTTAGGATTAAATCTATTATTAGAGCAGTACTAATATCATAGTAGACCATAATTCTAGAACTCCACATCCAGTGACCAGGGGT